TTCATACTCTGATGACGGAGGCAGTATGACCTCTGAAACGTTGTTTAACATCGACCAGACTACACAGCGCAATAACCCAGAAGACAGAAATCTTCATACTCTGATGACGGAGGCAGTATGACCTCTGAAACGTTGTTTAACATCGACCAGACTACACAGCGCAATAACCCAGAAGACAGAAATCTTCACACTTATCTTTATTGTAGAAGAAACTTTTTGTCCCGAAGATTAACTCTTCTTCCTTGTAGACAGCACAAGTTGAAATATTTTATTTTTTAATTTAGGATATAATGTATGTGCTGAAGATGGCCGTCTTCTCGGTCGTTGTGCCATGTAGTCTGTTAGAAGTTTACCTCCATCACCAGGACCTCTGAAACTTCGGTGAACTTATACCAGAGTATATGGTGCAACAACCCAGAAGACAGATGTCTTCAGATTAACCGCTGTGAGAACCTCAAATCTTGCTTAATATGTGTGCTGACAGATCTTCAGCTGCTGATTTGATTGCTAGAATCTGGGGCGTGACAAACACTGATTGATTGATGGAATTTCGGATAACAATAAGAGTGAAATCGTTTCATCTAATAAAAATCAGGATTTGACACTAGATTTATTAACAAAGTTGATCCAAAATGTTTTAACCAAAACAGTTATATTATCACATAATATCTTATATAGGGATTCTATACACTAACAATCAATTCCTAAATGTTAATATTGTCTTCCAAGGCATAGATATGTTCCTATGTTTCTGCTAAGCAAGACTGTTCTCTCTTGGTTCTTCCCAACTACTCCCTCTGCTTTAGAATTCTGGGACTCTGTTACATCCGCGTTCAGACTTCCCCTTCTCTACAGATGCAACACGTAACCTAACTCGCTTCTGTCATTGGTGGTTTATCCTTCAATCAGAAAATTGTGCAACCCTAAAGAATTGACACCAGTCTTGTGTCATTTGCAGTTGACTTTCAGAATTTTATTTGGTGTTGTTATGCGGGTGTGTATTTCCCGTAAGTGTTGGATATATAGTCAAATGTCCTCAAACATTCCAATTTTTTGAGAAATTTAATCACACATTGATGTTCAGTTTTCCTTGAATCTATCACACAGACCTAACATTGTGGCCACATGTTAGCGTTGCATTACTTCTCGTTCATATTTGGAGACAATGGATTTAAATCTTGGACCATTTGCTACTCGTCACTTTCATATTCACACAAGGAATTTACTTAATGGATCATTTACGACTGTTCAGTTCATATTATGTTTCTAGTTTTGTGCATGTTTTAGGTTATAAGCATGTAAAAGGAATTCTGCTCTATGGGCCACCGGGAACAGGGAAGACTCTAATGGCTCGTCAAATTGGGACCATGTTGAATGCTCGTGAACCTAAAATAGTTAATGGACCTCAGATTTTGGATAAGTATGTTGGTGAATCTGAGGCTAATGTTCGGCGGCTTTTTGCAGACGCAGAGGAAGAGGAAAAAAGGGTGAGAACTGCATTTTACATTTTATAAATATAAACTTTTGTAGATAATATAACAAAGACTTCATAAAGTAGTCAAAATACAATGGCATAATAACAGTGTTACTTTGCTGATTTTTAAGAAACCATGAATTTTCCTAAAACCGACAGTGGATTAGAAATAAAGTACAGTACAATAAATCCCTATTTCTGTGAATTGCAGAATGTTATAAATGTGTCTACGTAAAACAACATTTTGTAGTAATGAACGTTAGTGGAATCATGTTACACATTGTATATCATATAATATGTGTTTATAATTAAAAACTGTGAGAAGCATTGTTCTGATATGTCATGTGACATCCCATTTGTAAAATGTTGAATGGGAATTTAACCACACATGTAATCTTGTGAGGTAATTGTAAATTACTTTGAAAATCAATGTGTAAAATTTGGCATGTAAATTATAAATGTGCAAACGTGCTATACACTCCCAAATGTAGGTTGCTCTTATTTATGATAAAATTTTCAGTATTTTTAATTTTCACAAACATTTTTCTGTGCTTCCAGTAAGTTACAGAAAGATGTTTCTCATTAAGTCAGGTATACTTTTCAGTTGCCATGTAATAAACTAGTTTCATGTAATGCAGTTATAACCTTATATCTCTTACGTATCGTAATGTTGTAAGGTCACTTTATTCGATAGGGATAGCAGGAAGAAAATGATGTTAATTTATTTGCTATACAGTACTTTATTGTTGGCATTCTTTATGGGGTGAATGTTTAATACCTTCAACATTTGTTGCTGTGCAGTTCTACATAATGACCATTAGATATTCTTACTTGAAATTATCAGTCTTTTATTGCATACTAAATCTGGTGCTCACACTAGTGACCTTAATTTTTTTTCCTATTAATCTTATTCCATACCTTCATTTCTGAATATGACTGTACTCCATTACAGTGTTTTTACAATGTCTGTATACAGTCAAACCAGCCTCTGGCTCTTAATCAGTTGATGCACAATATATATTACGGTAGCATTATATTTCCATACAAGATGCTTGAAAGGTGATCAGTGCAGGCGAATTAATGAGTTGTGATGGACTGCATAAAATAAAAGTTTGAGGCCACGTAACATTCACTCTGTTTTAGAAGAAACTGGATAGTAGAATAATATTATACAGGTAGGCCCCGATTTACGCCGGGGTTACGTTCCACCTCCACAGAGTTGTTAGCTGAAGTGGCGTAAATCCGAGAAGAATTATAATTTATTGTACTGGCGTACCAGGAGAAAACAACTGACGCCGACACTAGCGCCACCTGGGTACCCACTTCCTGTGCTGCATTTATGCTACCGTTTTCAAGTTTTCATTTTATATTTTTTCATTATTATTTCAAAAGGGCATTAATGTGAAATAGCGTAAAATGATGTGTCATAAAGCGGGGCCGACCTGTACATGTATTTAGAACTTTTTA